GACCAGTGGGGGTGATCCCAGGCTCTCTTTCTGAACTGTATTCACAGAATCACTGCCGAAATGGAGTAAAGTTGCCTTGACACTAACTAGATGGCGGACGCCACATGTTCCCTTGCACAATGCAGAGACTCAGATGACATGCTGCATAGATTGAATAAAACCTTTGAATACTTTTAGGAAAATTTGCAGAGCTCAATGGCCTTTCAAGCATTGGGTGCTTCTGCCTGTGACTCAGCAGAGAGCCAAGGTGGGAGGTTGAGGGGAAGGCAGTAAAGCCTTGTTTGCCTTTTCCCGCATGGCACAACAATGACATGTGAGGCCCATTCAAGAGAAGGTAATGAGTTGCCCTTCTGGGTCCCGAGGGGCACAGAGACCCTGCTTAGAGTTGATGTGGAGCACGAAAATATGTGGTGAGACAATGCTGATCCAGCAACAGTTACCCGAATTGCTCCTGGAGTTCCTCTGCGTCCAAACTAGGAATCTGTCAAACTTGACCCAGAGTCTTCCAGGGCATGACTGTGCTCGGCCTCTGCAGGGTTTCCACTGATTTAACCGCTGAGATCAAGACTTTGGTTATAGCACAGTGCCGCAGTCTCTCACATTTTGTTCCCACTTGTTGGGCATCAGCTGTGGTTACATTTTATCCCTACTTGCTTTGAAGCAGCCTCAATGCACATCATTTGCTTAATAATATTGCAATAAATGTTCATTACTTTTCTCACTCTGGGGCTTAAATTTCTAGCCTTTAAGGGGGTCTCCTGTGATTATTACTCTCCATATTAATATGGTAACTCTAATGAGCACTCTGTCCTTAAACTGTTTTAGTTCATGCAAACCTTGTGATTTTCCATATACCTACTAATAGCACTGTGTACTTTCAGCCTGTTTTATATATCCAAAATGGGCAGTTTAATCTTCATTGTTTTGTTTTCTCATGACTAGTTTCTTAAGTCTTATGCCGCACAACAGTGCAGAAATGAAGTCTTGTTTAATCAATGCACAAAAAAATAATAAATAAACTAGAAAAGCTACAATTTCTGGGGAAATTGTGTGAAGTGTTCTTGCCTCCACCAGTAGTCTACAACTGGAGTGGGCGGAGTAACTGTTATCATTTATATAGCACATTTAATTGCAACGTTGTTGCACAGTTACATTAAACCATACATTTATAAAAAACATTAGCAGGTGTTCAAAAGGCCCAGTCTATGACATCACTTGCTGCTGCAGCCTCACACAGGTCAGAGTATTTTGGCGGTTGCCATCTTCAAACGGTCGTATTTTAAGAACTATAAATACTACAGCGAAGAGCTTTATATTGCGAGAATCACAAGACCCAGACCTACATTTTGATGCATAGTATGTCTCTGAAGTATTAAAAATGAAGGCACATTAGCAGTTTAGAAATTGCACTTCAAATTTGAGCTTTGTAGAGTGAAGTTTCAATGAATGTCAATGGACGGCGTTAGATGCAAACAAATTATTATATTGTGAATACTATCAGGACTATGGCTTAGCCGTTGACATGTTTAGTGGCAGCAGGGATAGCTGAACGTTTTGATATAAGATTTGTGTAGGTGGGCCTGAAAATGAGGGAGTGGTGGCAGTTTAGAAATCATGTCCTGATTTTTCAGCTTTTGCCAGCTCCCACTCTAGCTTTGCCATTCATTCCTATGGGACAAATTTCGCCACAAGAACGACGATATTCCGTGAACCATTCGGCGAAACGTTCCACAAAGTAATAGCAATCCGATCGGGAACAATCTGCACGTTTTGGTAAATTTTTGTCTATGTAGTGTAAAAACTGTGGAAGGAGTTAGGGTGGCAAATTTTGCTAATAATAAGAATAATAAGAATAATAATAACTAGAAAAGCTACAATTTCTGGGGAAATTGTGAGAAGTGTTCTTGCCTCCACCAGGAGTCTACAACTGGAGTGGGCAGAGTAACTGTTATCATTTATATAGCACATTCAATTGCAACATTGTTGCACAGTTACCTTAAACCATACATTTATAAAACATTAGCAGGTGTTCAAAAGGCTCTGTCTATGACATCACTTGCTGCTGCAGCTTGACACAGGTCAGAGTATTTTGGTGGTTGCCATCTTCAAACGGTCGTATCTTAAAAACTATAACTCCTACAGTGAAGAGCTTTATATTGTGAGAATCACAAGACCCAGACCTACATTTTGATGCATAGTATGTCTCTGAAGTATTAAAATTGAAGGCACAGTCGCAGTTTAGAAATTGCACTTCAAATTTGAGCTTTGCAGAGTGAAGTTTCAATGAAAGTCAATGGACGGCGTTAGTTGCAAACAAATGATTATATTGTGAAATCTATCAGGACTATGGTTTAGCCGTTGACATGTTTAGTGGCAGCAGGGATAGCGGAACGTTTTGATATAAGATTTGTGTAGGTGGGCCTGAAAATGAGGGAGTGGTGGCAGTTTAGAAATCATGTCCTGATTTTTCAGCTTTTGCCAGCTCCCACTCTAGCTTTGCCATTCATTCCTATGGGACAAATTTCGCCACAAGAACGACGATATTCCGTGAACCATTCGGCGAAACGTTCCACAAAGTAATAGCAATCCGATCGGGAACAATCTGCACGTTTTGGTAAATTTTTGTCTATGTAGTGTAAAAACTGTGGGAGGAGTTAGGGTGGCAAATTTTGCTATAATAATAATAATAATAATAATATATGTGAGATAACATTAAGTGGTCTTGCTATGCAAGAACACTTAACTAGAAAAGCTACAATTTCTGGGGAAATTGTGAGAAGTGTTCTTGCCTCCACCAGGAGTCTACAACTGGAGTGGGCAGAGTAACTGTTATCATTTATATAGCACATTCAATTGCAACATTGTTGCACAGTTACCTTAAACCATACATTTATAAAACATTAGCAGTTGTTCAAAAGGCTCTGTCTATGACATCACTTGCTGCTGCAGCTTGACACAGGTCAGAGTATTTTGGTGGTTGCCATCTTCAAACGGTCGTATCTTAAATACTATAACTCCTACAGTGAAGAGCTTTATATTGTGAGAATCACAAGACCCAGACCTACATTTTGATGCATAGTATGTCTCTGAACTATTAAAAATGAAGGCACAGTCGCAGTTTAGAAATTGCCCTTCAAATTTGAGCTGGCTTGAGTGAAGTTTCAATGAATGTCAATGGAAGGCGTGAGTTGCAAACAAATGTTCATATTGTGAAATCTATCAGGACTATGGCTTAGCCATGGACATTTCTAGTGGCAGCAGGGATAGCTGAACGTTTTGATATAAGATTTGTGTAGGTGGGCCTGAAAATAAGGGAGTGGTGGCAGTTTATAAATCATGTCCTGATTTTTCAGGTTTTGCCAGCTCCCACTCTAGCTTTGCCATTCATTCCTATGGGACAAATTGCGCCACAAGAACGACGATATTCCGTGAACCATTCGGCGAAACGTTCCACAAAGTAATAGCAATCCGATCGGGAACAATCTGCACGTTTTGGTAAATTTTTGTCTATATAGTGTAAAAACTGTGGGAGGAGTTAGGGTGGCAAATTTTGCTATAATAATAATAATAGCCAACTAGAAAAGTTACAATTTCTGGAAATTGGCGTGAAGTGTTCTTGCACTCCACCTGTAGTCTACAACTGGAGTGGTAGAGATAACTTGTATCATTTACATAGCACATTTAATTGCAACATTGTTGCACAGTTACTAAACCATACATTTATAAAACATTAGCAGGTGTTCAAAAGGCCTGTCCATATGACATCACTTGCTGCTGCAGCTTGACACAGGTCAGAGTATTTTTGAGTGGTTGCCATCCTCAAGCGGTGCATTATTTTAAAAACTATAAATCCTACAGCGAAGAGCTTTATATTGTGAGAATCACAAGACCCAGACCTACATTTTGATGCATAGTATGTCTCTGAAGTAGTAAAATTGAAGGCACAGTCGCAGTTTAGAAATTGCACTTCAAATTTGAGCTTTGCAGAGTGAAGTTTCAATGAAAGTCAATGGACGGCGCTAGTTGCAAACAAATGATTATATTGTGAAAACTATCAGGACTATGGCTTAGCCGTTGACATGTTTAGTGGCAGCAGGGATAGCTGAACGTTTTGATATAAGATTTGTGTAGGTGGGCCTGAAAATAAGGGGGTGGTGGCAGTTTAGAAATCATGTCCTGATTTTTCAGCTTTTGCCAGCTCCCACTCTAGCTTTGCCATTCATTCCTATGGGACAAATTTCGCCACAAGAACGACGATATTCCGTGAACCATTCGGCGAAACGTTCCACAAAGTAATAGCAATCCGATCGGGAACAATCTGCACGTTTTGGTAAATTTTTTGTCTATGTAG